TATTCTTGGACACTAAAAAATAATCCCTTTAAAGCAGTAAATTGCACCTCTGCGTATTTTTCGAGAAAATCGTGATTTTAGGTCACGATGGATCGCTTTCAAATTTGAGGGAATCAATAAATATTTAAAAAACGAGTAATTTATATAATGTATATATATATATATATAAAGACAATTAATTTTTGTACATACGATTTATTTCTCGTTATTTATTGACAATGCTCTCTGGCAAAATGATATACATAATGATGGGTGATAGTTGTTATAGAAACATGCGAAATATACTATCTTTCTACATCATCCGAATAAACGTTGATGTCATATCACAATCACACTTATTAATCGTTCATTAAAATACACATCATTAACATTCAAAAAAACGCAAATTACTTGTTTTTTAATTATTTATCGATTCCTCTAAGTTTGAAAACGTCGACGGAAAGATCCGTCGTGATTTAAAATTATGATTTTCTTGAAAAATACGCAAAGGTGCAATTTACTGCTTTACAGGCATTATTTTTTGATACCCCAAAATAACCATGCAAAAGTTGATCAAAATCCATAAAATACTTATGTGAATCTCTCCTTGTAAATCGATATCATATAAAGTTATTTTTATTGCGTTGGCTTTTCTGTAATTATTAAAAATAATTTATTTTTACTTTATTTGAAATAATAATAATAAAATTATTATTATATTGATAATTATTACATACTATTTTTTAAATTATATTTAACAAATTATTTATTGCGTATTATATATATATATAAGTACCCGGAAAAAATGTTTCATATAATATATATAATTATATAAAAATATATCAAATTATTGTATATATAATTTTGTAAAAAATTGACATATTTTATATACAATTATATATAAGTACTTACATGTAAAATATGTCCATATATATAATATTTTTTCCCGGGTATGTATAAACTACATTTTCAATAAAAATAACATTTTGGAAAAGCTATATAAATTTTATATAAACTAAACAAAAATATTAATTAATTGTCTTTTATAATATTTTTAACTCATAAAAGTTTTAGTTTTTATTCATTAAATCTTTTTTCATGGCAAATATAAATATATGTTTCTTATACATTGGTTTTTCTTACTTATCGATAACATTTACACATTATTATTTATTATATACAAATATATTACAAATATTTATAACTTTATTTCATACCATTCAATTTATATTTTATATTTCGAAATGATATTATATACGTTATTATATTGAATTTTTTATTACGTAAATGTTCACCTAGGGTGGTTTTTTTTACATCAGAGAGTTTCATTATTACTACGAATAAATACATGGTACACTGTCTGTTATATGGGTTATAAATTTATCGAATGATAAATAGATCTTCGATCGGTGAAATAAACTACTGTAACGTGAGCTTCATTTTTCTGATGCTCGAGTGTAAAAAACATCCCAGGTGTGCAATCTCGGATTAACATCGATTTGATGTCGAATAATATTGAATCAGCATCGATTGACGTTGATCGACAGGAAAATCAGCATACTCCCGACATGTTTACAACCTCTACTGCTACTGTTCATTTTGTAGATGCTTTAGTTTTTCGTAAATATTCGCAGTGGGACTAGAGGCGTTATTCAAGGGTGAAGGGCAGGAAGATTTCTTGGTTTTCAAACAAACAACATCCCCCACCCCCCCGCCACATTACCTATAAAATACCTATAAAAAATTAAGAATTTCTAAGATTTTGTCTCAATCTATGTTGATCTTCATAAAAGTTTTTCAATCAGGTAGGGCTCAAAAATGCATTTATTTATTTAAAATATAGAATAACTTTTATTTAAAATATAAAAATAACTTGCCTTTTATTTTAAATAAATTTTCGAAGGCTATTTCTTATTTTAAATAAAAAATAGATTTCGAAAACTTACTTGAAATATAAAATAAGAATTATGTGTAAATAAATGTTTTAAATAATAAATACAAAATATTTTAATGATTTCGTTTATTTAAATATCCAGGGCTTGGCAAAATTTGCATTTTCTCGGCTGATTTTCGAGAAGCTCTGTCTCCCGCTACTCCTCTCACCATTCGCGCGCAGACCAAATATCGTTCGACATTTAGAAGCGTCTAACGTTCAAAGAGGTGCACGAGGCGCTCGCTTTGGGTGCTCACACTAAACTTCATTTTATCTTTTTTTTTGCTCATTATATAATTAAGACAAAATGAAGCAACAGATAAGCGCTCAACAATGAATACATCCAATGAATTTTCACATCATTCTTGAGGTCACTATTTTTGAAGCGTTTTTTTTTAAATGGTATCTCCAATAGGCCTAGTCCACTGATAAAAATGATGAATTGTACGACGAAAATAATTAAACACAAACGAAGTAAAATGAAAAATACTTATTCTGATTTTCAGAATCTTTTATTGGCGAGATCAGAAACGTCGATTTGCATATTACACGTCGTGAGCCGCATAAGACAAGGCAAAGAATCAAGAATCGCTCAAGAACGTCTCTCATTTTTTATAAGCTTCATTTTTTAAAAGAATGTCTCATATAAATATGTAGATCTGAACATGGAATGAATTCGAAGTCCGAAATCTCGAAGATTGAGGATTCTTTCAACATTTTGTAAAACTCAGCACCAATTTCTTTAATCGTTTTAAGTGCAATATCGTTCTGCAAATCATAATTCATCTTGCAAGTCAAGTCAAGATGCTGTCCTTCAATTGGCGCTGTAAGGGGATTCTCGAAAAGAATTAATTCAGTTCTGAATTTTTCAAAGCAAATAAACTGTTATCATTCTATAAGAGAATATAGAAAATTATTCTTTGAAATTGCAATTATTGTCTTTGAGAAGAATTTGACAAGAAAGAAAAAAGTGAAAAATATTATCATATATATTTAATATATATTTAAATGAGATTTTAATACCTGCAATTTTCTCCGGAAAGAATCAACGTGATTCACTTTTGGGAAATATTTTGATTCGTCCTTTGCAGTTTTAAGTTAAGAAGCCTAAGTTGATTACTTATATCAGTAATAAAAGCGAATTCAGT